TTATGCTAATAATGTCGTACAGTTGCATAGTAACTATTTGTCAAACCTCTATACACATATATGGCCTAGGATAAGTAAACTAGGGAAGGGATTGACTTCCTGTTGTTTTTAAACTATGTGGTAAGCAAGCATAATGGAACCTAAGAGAACATGAACTTTGAAATGAGACAGTCTTTAATTTTAGCCTTTCCTTTTAGTAGCCATATAACCTTGGATTCCTTAATCTAATTTCAGAACCTCAGGTTTTTTAAAACCTTAAATGGGAAATGCCAGAATTGTTGGGTTCTTAAATCATGTAATGAAGATAACAATGCCTGGTAGGAGCACTGTGAATGAATCTCACAAACAAAATGTTGAGTGGAAGGAAGTGGACATAAAAGAGAGTACATGTGATGTAAGTATTTCTGTAATGTTCAAAGCAGGCAAAACTAATCTACAATGATAGAAGTCAAGACAGCATTTAGTCTTGGGTAGAGTAATGACTGGGAGATGATGCAAAAGGAGTATTTCAGGTGCTAGTAACGATCTCTTTCTTGGTTTGGAGACACATTGTAAAAGTTCGTTGAGCTTCATACTTATGATTTGTGTGCTTTTTATTCGTTATATTATACTTTAACAAAAGAAGTTATTTTTAAAGTGCTTAACATAGAACCTAGCTCATAGTTGGTTCCCTTTCTTCTATGATGGTTCCATTAAATTAACAATATAGAAGTTTATTTAGAAAAATGATCCTGGCCTACATTTTTTTTGTAACCTTTCAATTTCTTTTTTTCTGTTATGGTTCTCTTTATCTCCTAATCCCAGTTTTATACCTAGGCATGTTTATATGGATGGTATTCCTAAAATGGTGTAGTTGCAGTAGTTCAGGTCAGTCAGACACAGTGAAATTGAATGTCTGACCAGTATGATCTAGGAGTAAATCAGGAATATGAATTTTGATTTGGTGCTATTCTCTGATCATTATGTGATTTGATGTTTTTCTTAAAAAAAACCCAAAGATTTATTTATTTATGTTTAGAGAGAGGGAGAGGGAGGGAGAAAAAGAGGAAGAGAGACATCTGTGCTAGAACAACTATAAAAAAAAGGTGGAAAAAAAGAGAGAAACATCGCTTGGTCACCTCTCACACACTCCTAAACAAGGGACCAGGAATCAAACTGGCGACCTTCCTCTTTGCGGGACATTGTCCAACCCACTGAGCCACACAGGTCAGGGCTGATGTGCTTTTTACATGAAGATTAAATGGATATTTTTCTCATCTGTGTAATATAATTTTGTCTTATATCAGACCAACTTCATTATTGAATATTTTCTTGGTGGGATATTAGGCTTACTCTTTTATCTCTGGCAATTTTAATACCAGCCAATTATAGTGTAGTAGGTTTTAAAATCCTAAACTGTCCCACCCATTAACATCTTATACATTTTTCTTAGATTCGTAGCCCTGAAATGGAACCATACTTACCATTTTTACCTTGTTGTTTATACTCATTGTTTTTGTACTACAAATATAGAAATAGAACTTGTATACTTGGGAATTTATGCAAGATCCTGTTGTAAAAAACTTAGAATTGTTGAAAATTCAGTTTTAAAAATTGAGAAAGTAGCCCTGGCTGGTGTAGCTCAGTGGATTGAGCGCAGGCTGCAAACCAAAGTGTCGCAGGTTCTATTCCCAGCCAGGGTACATCCCTAGGTTGCAGGCCATAACCCCCAGCAACTGCACATTGTTGTTTCTCTCTCTCTCTCTCTCTCTCTCTCTCTCTCTCTCTCTCCCTCTCCCCCTCCCTTCCCTCTCTAAAAATAAATAAATAAAATCTTTTAAAAAATTGAGAAAGTTATTTTTTTTCTAGGCAATGTTTGTGATACAAAATAAGCCTGTGACAGTCTCTGCCTTTAGGGATGATGGAATCCTGTAAGGAGGGGTTTGTAATATAGGCAGAAAATGAATTTGTCTGCATTTGCTTTTGGTCTTTTTGACATTGGCTTTTAAAAAAAATTATTGTTGTTCAATTACAGTTGTCCCCATTTACCCTGCTACTCTCCCCTCTCCTGCCCACTAGCAGGGCCTTCTAAACCACAGAGAACTGTGGTGATGTATGGATGCTGATGGAGCCAAGATACAGAGAACTGACTTCTGAGTGATCAGTAATATGACAAAAAGTTAGGGAGGTGAGGAAGTACCCCCTTTCTATCAGATGCTTATTTATATTCATTCATTAAAATAGTTAGGAGCACTGTTAACCCTCACAGACCCTTTGAAGTAGACATTACTATTTTTTCCCACTTTAAAGATACATAAATTGAGGCCCAGTGACATTTAGTCACATGTCCAAGTTTATATAGTTAGTGACAGTTAATATGAAAATCTAAAACCCATGTGTACTACTTGCTATATATAGATAGCAACATTATCCAAAGAAAGAATGTATTTATCAAAGGATAGACAGCTTCAAAACATTCTAAATGGGAGGTCATGAAGAAGACTGATTGGAGGTTACATCTATGATTACCCAGGAAGGGGAACACTATGACTCCAGGACTTAATTTCTTAAGAGTCCCTGTGAGACTTTGTATTCCTGTTAGAAGTTGGTTGAACAGGACTGTCAGACTGTGCAGCAGAGTCACCTGTTGGCTGTTTCGGTTTTTTGTGTGTGATAAAATACACATAACATAAATTTTACCCTTTAACTCATTAAGTACTTTTCAATATTAGATAGCATTCACTAATCCATTTTTGCAACTTTTCCATCATCCCAAAAAGAAACCATGAACCTGTTAAATCATAACTCTCCATTACCCACCCTGCCCAGCCCCTGGAGTCTCTATTCTACTTTCCGTTTCTATGAATTTACTTATTCCACTTACCAAATATAAGTGGAATTACACAATATTTGTCACTTTGGTTTTGGCTTATTTTACTTTTCATAATGTTTTCAAGATTCATCATGTTATAGCAAATATCAGAATTTCATTACTTTTTATAGCTGAATAATATTGCATTGTATATATATATATACCACATTTGTTTATCCATTCATTTATTTATAGACACTTGGATTGTTTTTTCTCTTTGGCTATTGTGAGTAATGCTGCTATGAACATTAGTGCACAAGTATCTGTTTCAGTCCTTGCTCTCTATTATTTGGGTATATATCTGGGAGTCGAGTTGCTAGAGCATATGGTAATCATATGGTAATTCTGTGTTTAACTTTCTGAGATTTTCCACAGCACCTGTACTATTTTTCATTCCCACTAACAATTTGCAAGTGTTCTAATTCTCCACATCCTCACCAACACTTGTTGTTTTCATAATAGTCCTTCTAATGGATCTGAGTGAAATGGCATCTCATTGTAATTTTGATTTGCATTTCCCTAAAGATTAATTATGTTGCATATCTTCTCTTGTGCTTATTGACCATCTGTGTAGATAAATGGATAAATGGCTATTCAAGTCCCTTGCTCATTTTTGAATTGGGTTGGTTGTGGTTTTTTGGTTGTTAAATTATATATGTTCTAGATATTAATCCTTTATCAGATACATAGTCTGCCAGTATTTTCTCCCATTCTGTAGGCTGTCTTTTTGCTCCTATGATAGTGTCCTTTCATGCACAATGCTTTTCATTTTAATGAAATTAAATGTTGTTGTTGTTACCTGTGCTTTAGATGTTATATCCAAGAATCATTGCCACATTTGGTGTCGTAAAGATTTTCCCTTATGTTTTCTAGTAAGAGTTTTTATAACTTTAGCTCTTATTTTTAGGTCTTTGAGGCATTTTGAGTTAATTTTTGGTACAGTGTAAGGTAAATATTCTACTGTATTTTTTTTGCGCATGGGTATCTAAGTTTCCCATGAATGGTCTTGGCACCTTTGTTGAAAATCATTTTACTGTGTAAGTTAGGGATTTCTGGGTCCTCTCTTCTATTCAGTTTGTCTATATATCTGTCCTTATACCCATATCACACTGTTTTGATTACTGTTGCTTTGTAATCTGTTTTGAAATCAGGAGGTATGAGTCTCCCAAATTTGATCTTCATTTTCAAGATTGTTTAAGCTATTTGGGGTTCTTTGAAATTCCATGTGAATTTTAGATGACTTTTTATATTTCTGCAAAAAAAATCATTGGGATTTTTATAGGGATTGAGTCTTTAGATCACTTTGGGTATTATTGTCATCCTAACAATATTAGTCTTCCAGTTTATGAACACAGATGTCTTTCCATTTATTTATTTTTTTCCATTTTAATATTATCATTGACCATTTGACAAAATCTACTGAGTCTTGGGGCTTTTCAAGTTTATTTATTTATTTATTTTTAAACCTGATCTACCTTTCTTTCTTTATTGTTGTTCAAGTACAGTTATCTCCACTTCCCCCCACCCCTCCCCCCCACCCCATCCATCTCCACCTCCCAGCCTCGATCCTACCCCCTTTTGGCTTTGTCCATGTGTCCTTTATACATGTTCTTTGATGATCCTTCCCCTTTTTTCCCCCATTATACTTCTCTCCTCCCCTCTGGTTACTGTCAGTTTGTTCTAAGCCAAGCAGTGAAAGACAAATACCATATGACCTCACCTGTAAGTGGAACCTAATCAACAAAACAAACAAGCAAGCAAAATATAACCAGAGACATTGAAATATTTATGTTTTCTTTAATATTTTCAGCGGTGTTTTGTAGTTTTCAGTGTATAATATTTTAGTTCATGCGGCTGTTATATTTCTCACAGTAAGTTAATAAATGAACATTCTAGTTTACCCATCATTGTTTAATGACTGAAGATTTGTCAAGAGTCTATTCTATTTTTAACATAATTAGGATTCTGAACCTACAAAGCTAAGGGAAGGATCCCAGAAATAGGAAACATAACCAAATCACTGCCCTTGGAAAGGCCTGAGTGTCCAGACTGCTGGTTTCCTCTGATAAAATCCTAATTTCACTGTACGTCTTCTTTTATCTACAATAGTTTGTTCACATATCTAATTCTTTCTGTCTTTTGCTTCTAGATTTCTCCATCTTACTAAAGAGAAATGATTTCCTATTTGGTATAGCTGATGGTACCATGCAAAACTCAGATCCTCGAAAAGGTCAGAACCTGTATTTATACGTAATAGAAATAGACTTATCCTCTATTAGGCTGTGTGTGAATGTATATGTCACAAAAAGTGACTAGAGTGAATAAAAGAATCTCACCCTCTCTTGCCAACTTAATCCTGCAATTTTAACAAGGCCAGCACATCATTTATACAGCTCTTTACAGTCTGCAAAGTATTCTTCACATAGTTATCTCATACAGTCTCTACAGTAATCTTATGAAGTGGTACTATTACTATTCCTGTTTTATGGAAACAGTATGGGGTTACAAGACTTATTCAAAATCTTACTCTGAACAGCAAGATTTATTCCTAGATCTTTAGCCTCTAAATTTTGCCCTCCTTACTACATCCTAAGTTCATAATCGGTATCAGAATTTAATAAACATGTAAGTGTTGAAGCTGTATGAACATTGGAAATAATGTATGTAAAAGTCTGAAAAGTGTTAAAATCCCTTTTAGATATAAAATACCAATAAGAAATGAGATCTTGATATTGAATATCTAACATAGTCTTTGGGATGACACCATATGCTTCAATGTATAATATACCATTGTCTTAGTATGGCAGACGAGTCTCTTCATAAGTTGCTGCCTACCTACTTACCTATTCTCATCTCATTCAGTTGCCATCATTTGTCTCTGTAGCTTACCCTACCCCTTTAAATCTATAATAAACTACAGGCTGTTGTCCAAATATACTATGTATTTCTAGGAAGTATGGTGTGGCACCATTGGTATTAGTAATTGTCCCTGTTCAAGGAGCATGGGACAGATGCATTCTAGAAAGCATTAGCTTCTCCTATGCTCTGGGTCACACCTCTGTAAGCCTCTGGAAAGGGTAAACATTATATATATAGTTGAAGCCTACTAGGATGGCCTGAAAGACAAAAGTAGTCATGGCTTTTCTGCATTTTCATCAGCCACTTATTGTTTGCTGCTTTGCTTGTTAAAGGAAATAGTGATATTCCCTGGGGATTCTTCTCTCTGTGCATGTGCAAAGATGCATAATTGCTACGGAGAGAGTGGGGGAGGGACGATCTCTAAGAGAGATCTGCTCCATCTTCTTTGTTCACATCTGCTGCATGTACAAGACAGAATTTACTGGTCTCTTTAAGAAAGTGATTGCCTGGCTTACCTCCCCGCCATCCCTCTTCTGGGGGATCATCCCAGTGGAATATTACCATCTCATCACACTCATCTCTGAATGGAACAAAGTAAATGGAGAGCTGGAGGCAGAGGATCATTTCAGAGGCACTAGGAATACTTGCTAAGAAGAGTGGCTAATCAGTGGCACATCTCAGATCAGTCTCCAGCCTCCCCTGTAGCTCGTCCTCCATGACCACAGTGGGATAGTCCTGCTCCCAATGTTTCAATTTGATTTCTGTGCATATTGGTGTAGAATTATGGCTTATTAAAACCACATTGTTATCTAACACTGAAAGAGTTCTGTCTTGCATGGGCTTTCAGAAATATGTTTAATATTTCTCCAGTTTTCATTTCTGGGGGAAGCATTCTTCATTCTCTGGTCTCTTCCTCCCTTCCTTCCCCAGCATATAAAACTGCATTACTTTTCTATTTTCCAGGCTCTGTGAATATTTAAATCATGGTACCTATGGACATCCTTTGTTTAAACGAATTTTACCTCATTAAATCCCAGACTGTGCCTAATCTCATTCAGTGTCCAAATCAAGTAAAATGGGTAGAACATCCACATTCACACCTGGTTGTAGTTCTTCCCAAGCAGGCTATTTTCTGTAGAAGCAATTATAAGGTTTCTTTTTCATTTGTTTATTTGCTTTAAGGGGAGAGACAGTGATGTTAAAAGCATAGTTGGTGTTCAAGTCCTGCTTTTTTCCTAACCTTTTAGAAAGTTAATCACCTCCCTGGTATCATTTCCTTATTTGTAGAAAGGAGTAATGATACTGTACTAAGTGGTATCAAACTGGAGAGGGCGGTGTTATTGAAATACTTAGCACAATATCTGGCACATAATAAACACTTAAAAATACAAACTATATAATGCTAATAATTATTGCTATTTTAATATACAAGTGATAATTTACAACTGAATTTTTTCTTAATATCACAGTATATGAAGAATTTTTTTCTACTTTTTCTTGCTTCAAAGTATGACCTATTGTGATTGATTGTTTTGTCACATTTCAAAAGGATGCTTCCATAGCCTTGTAGATTTTTCTGTTGCTTATTACCTTTCAAAGGTTTCCAGAAATACTAGAATCTTTACACTGTCTAGAGCTATACTGTTCAATAGAGTAGCCACTGGACATGCATCTAGTTAAATTTAATAAAAATTAAATATAATTAAAATGCAGCTCTTCAGTCACACTAGGTGCATTTCACCTGCTGAATAAGTCACATGTGGCTAGTGGCTGCCCAGTAAACAATGGAGATATAGAACATTTCCATTATCACTGAAAGTTCTATTGAATGGCACTGCTTTAGGTGTTACTAGTCTATGCTCTTGCACTCTTTTATCAGAAATCAAAGAGTGTTTATTTTCTAGGATGTTCCAGAAACTACTGGACATCAGGACTCTGGACATCGAAGGATTGAAGTTTCTCTTCTTATTCCAGCCTCTTAGTGTCATTACTGTGTTTTAAAATAAATACAGACACTTTCATTTCCCCCAAGATCACATTACCTTAATTTTTAAATGTCCTAGTCAACAATAAGAGGAAGCCAAAGGGAAAAGAAGCAAAGTAAAAGTAATTGTAGCAGATATTCCTATATTAGTTACTCAAATTGTGAGACTTAGAATTCTTAGAGGTTCTAATGTCCTTTTGGCAAGTACCTTGTGTTATTCACAGGATGAGTTTTCTCTCTAAGAAAGGTAGTAAACATCAGTATTTCCTTAATAATCTCTATTATCTGTATTATGCACTTTAAAAGCCATCTTTTTATTTATTCTTCACAACAACCTAGTGAAGCAAGTAGCATTAGCATTACCATTCCCATTTTTTTTTTTACTGATAAAAAAACTGAGGCTCAGTGCAATTAAGTTACCTGCCTGAAGCATTTAAGGAAATTTAGTCTTTAAGGAAAAATAGAGTTAAGATTCAAAATAGGATAAAAGTGAACTTCCAGTTCAGTATTTTATTTTCTTTTGTTTTTATTTTATAAAAGAAGGAGTGAAGTTTCCTTAGAGCAACTTGGAAACTGATGACTGTTGCATGAAGTACTTACTCTCGGAGAATTACTGTAGTCTCATTTGTCCTGTGACCCATGTGTATTAGTCAGGAGGGCTGCCATAACAAAATACTACAGGCTGGGTGGCTGAAATAACAAATTTATTTTCTCACAGTTCCTAAGGCTGGAAGTCCAAGGTCATGGTGTTAGCAGGGTTGGTTTCTGATGAGGCATCTCTCCTTGGCTTATAGACAGGTGTCCTCACCTGGCCTTTTTCCCTGTATGTGTTTGTGGGGAGTAGGGGGAGGAGAGATATCTCTGGTCTCTCTTTTTTTATAAGGATACCAGTCCTGTCACATTAGGACCTACCCCTATGACCTCATTTAATCTTAGTTATTTCCTTGAAAGTCCTATCTCTCAACACAGTCACATTGGAGATTACAATTTAACATATGAATTTAACATAACATGTGGGAACACAGATCAATTCATAACATCATGGTAATGGTGTTTAGTATCTTTTGGTTTTTCTGGCTTAACTTGGTTAATTGGAAACTATATTTATATTCAACATTTGCATGGAACCGGATGTAGCAAATATCTTTATCTCTAGATATTAAGGCTTAGTTAAATTAAACCTGTAGTACTTGCTATAAGGTACTATCCCACCCTGAGATATTCTAATAGGCAAAAAAAATTATATCTTACCGTCCTAATTTTCTTATAATGTAGCCTTGTTTGTTAATAGCTGAAAGTCTCAGTACTTTACAGGTAAACTTCCCCTTTCCTTCCCACCCTCATTTTACAGATGGAGAAATTAACATACAGAGAAACTGTCTTCTCAGAGGTCAGAGCGAGGAATTGGTGGATCCAGGGATAAATCCCAAACTTCCTAACACCTTGACCAGTTTTTAGTTCATTGACTATGCAGCCTAGTGGTAAGTATCTTTTTACCCTCCCATCCTGAAGGTAAGCGGGATTAAGAGTTTTGGCAAGGACTGAATTTAAGGAATTTCTCATTACTAATTAGGTCACTCATTGTCCTTCTCTGTTAGCCATGATGTCATTTTTGTCATTTGCATGAATTTCTCCAGGTCATGAAAGGAGTTTTGCTTGCTTAAATACTTTGAAATATTTCTCTATTGTTTCAGCTATAGTAGAGATTATTATTAGGAAAGGAAAGAAAGAAAAAACCTATTTAATGAATTTGTTCTCTGTTTTAGGCACCATGCTAGACACTCTGTATTATGTTATCTTACTTGAAATGTCCTTAAAACTTATAACCATTTCTGGAAGGTATATATTCTTACCATTGTTATAATGATAATTTTTATAATATTGGTTGAATTAAATAGACAAATATCTTATAAAATTAAGAATTTAAATTCTAGTAAAATTTGAGGTTTGTGAAAACTAAGAACCTTATCAGAAGTATTTAAAGCTAAAATCTCTTCGTGTTTAAGCATAGTTTCTGAGGTTGGATGATTTATCTTATCTGATAATTAAGTCAAGTTTGCTTTTCCACTTGACACTAAAATCATATTTTCTCTAAATCCCTTTCTTCTGCCTCTACATCAGAAATAGTTGTGATTCTTTTTATCATTAGGGAGGCTGAACAGTCAAAGCCATGTGAAAAGCAAGGACCCCCAGAAGCAAGGTCCCACAGACCATAAACATATTCTCTGATCTGTTCCTCACTTTTGCTTCTCTGCCCATTGACTTCTTGCTTATTGTAGATCTGCATTCTCTATTATAGTGAAAAATAGAGCCACTGACATGAACTGCATTTTACTCCTCTTATGATATCCCCTCCTGCTTCAGCCACACTGAACTTCAGGTGTCCAACATGACAGTACTGTCCATAATGTGTTTATCTCTTTCATGAATCAGAGGCTGAGTGCCTTGCTATATAGGTCTGTATCTAAGTATCAATCTCTATGTCAAATTTTTTTGATGAAAGCATGCATTTAATATTAACTTCTTAATATGTATAATTTTTTTCTCATTGGACAACTATTTCTGAGTTTGGTAAAAAGGCAAACTTTTTTATTTTTATTTTTATTTTTGAGTGCTTGTTGTGTGCCAAGTCCCAGCAATATTGACTGGCTTAGTAATATTTAGCTTTGATACTCTGTGACAGGCACAGAAATAGAAGGTAAAGATGGTACTGTACTCTGCTTGGAGATGTTACCAGAAAGCTATTGCAAAGTAATAGTTGCCCTTGACTGTGATGAATAAATAGGAATCTCCTAAATAGAGAAAGAGAGAAAATTTTAGAGATATGAAACAGTATGACATGTTTGTTATGTATGGTTACAGTTTAGGGCTTGATCTTTGAAGACTTTTAAATGAGATAGTGACAAGTTTTATCTTAGCCATACTTTAGAAAATTAATACTAAATTATGGATTGGAAAGGAGTGAGATCAGACAGGAATTAAGTAACTGTTTTCATTGGTCAAGGTGAGAGATAATTAAATCTTTTTTAAAAAATTATTTTATTGTTGTTCGAAATCTTAAACTCAGATTTGGAAGAGAAGAGATGGTCATTTTAGAGGTAGAACTGATATAATTTGATAACCTAGTCTATTTGGAGGGCTTGAGAGCACAGACAATTACAGAGGATTTCAGGTTTCTGAATTGTTACTGTTAACTGGGTATGACTACCAGAGAAGAAATATACTGCCTGGGGAGAGAGAATAAAACAAAACTAGTTATTTAAAAATAGTATCTATATATCATAATATACTCTGAAGCATGGCTATTATTCTCATCATGCTTTGAAAAATTATGTGACTAGCTCCTTTTTTAAATGTGTGGAATTCTGTGAGATTCTGTATTCTTTTCATTTAGGAACTGGCATGGGGACAATTATGTAATCCACTGAGTAATTTATGATGATGCTTTTAATTAAGCATTTTGTAAGGTAGTTGTTATCTCCTTTTCTGTGTGTGTTGCTTTCCAGTCTCCACTTGTTTGTGCCAGGAGTTCCAAATATTTCTTCTCAGAAGTTCCTTTTCCATTGTCTTAAATTAAACCTTATTTGACACCTTCCTACCCAGTTACATTTGTTAGTCCTTTTGCTCATTTTGCTTAGCCTTTGAGTCTGGCTTTCATTTTTTGTATTTACTAGGATTTTTTCCCTAAATTGCATTAGTTGCTTTTAAATATTGTTTTATTAATGATCATGCAGATCATTAATAAAACCAGATCATTAATGATCTGGTTTCTATTTATCATGGCTTCCTGAATCAGTTTTGCATATGCTAGTAGCTCATCTTTACTTAAGTGATATAATATTGAAAACATATATATAAATGTACTGTATATTGGTATTTAATTTTAAAGAACACATTCCTTCTACTTATAAAAAATAAGTGTGAAAAACTTTAAACATAAATTCAGTTATGATACCCTAATATCTTTGTCAGGAATTTTTAAGCCTGATCAACTTTGTAGTCTTTAATAATTATTTAGAGGAGAACAAATATGACAGATTACTAGAAAGATAGGGGACATCAACTCAGGAGAGAAGGCACACTCTTGAAGTGGGACACTGACCAGTATGGCTGGAGGGTAGCAGAAAGGGAAAGGTCATAAATAATAGGTAGTATCAGAGGAGTGACAAAAGCCAGGTCTTGCATAGCTTTGTAAGGCACCTTTAACTCAGTGCAAAGCTGTTGGAGGTCCTCAAGCAGATAAATGACATTATCTGTTTCATGTTTTAAAAGGCTCACTTTGACCCCTATGTGGAGAATACTGTAGAGTAGGGCAGGAGTAGAATCAGGAAAACACATTAGCAGTCTGTTGCAATGTTCCAGGTAAGGGGTAATAGTGACTTGACCTACAGTGCAAATGGTGAGATTAAGATCAGTGGATGGATTTGGGATGTGGGCCAACAGAGCTTACTGATAGGTTGAATGTGAGTGTAAAGGAAATAGAGGCATCAAGGATAATTTCAGGGATATTTGGCTCGAGCAACTAGGTGATAGAGATGCCATTTATGGTTTGGGGAAGGCAAAAATAGGAATGGGTTGGCAATTGGGGGCATTTCCTCTTAGCCGGACCATTTCAAACTGTTTAGTTTGAAATAGCTGATCGATAACCATGTGGAGATGGGCTATAGGTAATTGTGTATGTAAGTGTGGAATTCCAAAAAGAGAACAGTGCTGGAAATAGAATTTTGGAGTTATGTCAATTAAGTGGTGAGCAGAAAAACCCTATTTGAATGAGGCGATAATTTGAGGTCATGTGTAGGCAGTGACTATAGACAACTCTTGAAATAAGTTTTCCTATGAAGGAGAGCAGAGAAGTGGAAGGATATAGCAGGAGGGACATGTGTGGGAGTAGGAAGGGGTGTTTGTTGTTTTTTTGTGTTTGTATGTTTGTTTGTTTAATAGGTGATGGAATAATAAGAATGCTGGCTCGAACAATCTATTAGAGGGGGAACACTTGCAAAGTCCTTAAGAGGATGAGAGGAAATGGGATCTAAAGCAAAAATGGAGGGTTGACTTTTGATAAAAACAAGTTCACTTTATCCACAGCAACAGGAGAACAGTCAGAAAGAATGATGAATGTGTAGCTTCATTCACTCACCAAATTAACTTAGAGCCCACTACTATACTATGCAGTTGGGGATATACCACTAAACAAGATCTGTACTTTTCTAAAATGAATGGCATGTAAAAGGTTCCTATCCCTTATTTCTGTTTTCTCAATGAACTCAGAATGTACATACTCCCCTAAGAGTGAAGGTGAAGGAGTGCGTATTTGGAGTATGAGGAGAGAGAAAAGAATAGTAATTTGTTTTTCTTTTTGGAAAGTAGAGAACTTAGTAGGGAAATGTGGTGATTTCTAGATGATGTTAAGTAGCATTTGAGAATTATGGCCATGAGTTTAAAGTGAGACTAGTAAGCTTGCATTTGTTTTTCTTCTGCACTGGTGAGCTGTTGGGGTAGGCATGGTATAGATGGATAAGTGCCTTCAACCAGAATTAGGATTGAGACTTCGAGGGAGTCAAGAGTGTTTGCCAGAAAGTGATTTTAATGAGAGACCGTGGGATCTGAGCTACGTAGGAAGAGAAGTGAACACGTGATGGGTGATTGGTGGTAAGAAAGTGGCAGAAGGTCAGGAGATGAATCTACATTTTCAAGCAAGGAAAATATACTCCCATTATATAGTAATATATCCTCTTTGTAGAAAATTTTAACATACATGAGATTAGAAAATAGAAAAGAGGAAAGAAAAACAGTACCATCACCCAGAGATAATCCGTTGTTTATATTTGCTATTTACTTCTGTCTTTTTTTTATCTTTTTAAAGATTTTATTTATTTATTTTAGAGAGGGATAGGGAGGGAGAAAGAAAAGGAGAGAAACATCAATGTGTGGTTGCCTCTCACACATCCCCTACTGTGGACCTGGCCTGCAACCCAGGCATGTGCCCTAGACTGGGAATTGAACCTGTGACCCTTTGATTCACAGGCAGGCACTCAATCCACTGAGCCATACCAGGTAGGGCTGTCTTTTTTCTAATGATTTTTTCTAATACTTTTTTAGGCTTGTATTAGTTTGCCAGGGCCACCATAACAAAGGCTACGAATGGGTGATTTAAATACAGACTTATTTTCTCAAAGTTCTGGAAGTCAGAAGTCCAAGATCAAGGTGTTGGATTGGTTGTGGTTTGTTTTTTTTGTTTTGTTTTTTTTCTGAGTCCTCTCTCCTTGGCTTACAAATGCCTGTCTTCTCCCTGTGTCTTCATGTCTTCTCTTCTCTATACCTGTGTCCAAATTTTCTCTTCTTATGTGGATACCAGTCATATTGGATTATGGCCGACCCCAATGACCTCATTTTAAGTTAATTACTTACTTAAAGACCCCCTCTCCAAATAGTCACATTTTGAGATACTATCCCTAGTATCAGAATTTCAACATGAATTTGAGGTGGGGACACAATTTAGCACATAACAGGAGTGTTCTTTTTTTGTTGTTGTGTTTTATGTAATTGTTATTACTCCATGTACATAATATTTGAACCCACATTTTACCATATACATTATAACTTAAACATTTTCCTATTTTTGTTGTTTAGCCTTTATAAAACAGCTACAAAATACTGTCAAGTGAATGTTTTGCAAGTAACTTAATCAGTCTTCTCTTTTGAACATTTAGGTGCTTCCCCCCCGCCCTTTTTTTTAAAAGATTTTATTTATTTATTTTTAGACAAAGGGGAAGGGAGGGAGAAAGAGAAGGAAGGAAACATCAATGTGTGGTTGCCTTTCACACATCCCCTACTGGGGAACTGGCCTGAAGCCAAGGCATGTGCCCTGACTGGGAATCAAACCAGCGACCCTTTGGTTCACAGGCCTGCCTTCAGTCCACTGAGCCACAGCAGCCAAGGCCCTCACACCCTTTCTGTTACTTATAAACACTACTGAAACTTTTAAAATAAACCTTTTTTTTTCCTGTAGTTTGGATTATTTCCTCAGAATAGAGTCTCAGAAGCAGATTATCAGAAACTATTAACACATATTGTTAAATTGGAGAAGTATTGAATCTTTTTATTTTCTTTTCACATGACTGTTTTCTTATTTCCCACAGAAATAGACTGGAATGATGTTAGAAAACACAAATATGGTCATCTATTGGAGTCTGCATCCCAACATCAAGGTAAAAAAAAAACTACTCAGCATGGAAGACTTTATTTGACATCTCTTACCATAAAAACTTTGTACAAAGGAATCATTGGACTCATCAGTTAAAACAAAAGCAAATACTGTCATTTACAGAGGTATCTGTAAAAAGCAATATGCTTTCTTTTGAACTGGAAGTCAAGAAATTTAGATTTTAAGTATAGATAATCCCAAATTAGCTTCAGAGCTTTAGGCACAGTTGGATAGCTTCTCTGGACTTCTATCATTTTTAAGAGTTTAGGCTTGGGAGTTAGGCAGAATTGGGGTATACTTCCACAACTATTACTACTGAACTTAATGTCTTTTAAAATGAGAGAATTGGACTAGACAAACTCTCAAGCCCTCGTTTTACCCCTGATCTCCACCTTTCTATCATTTCGGTATGTTTGTCATAATGACTTATGCTGTGACATTTTTCTTTAATAGAAGCTACTGACATCCTGGAGCTAGGTAAGATATTTTTCTTGTATTTCTGTTAAATAAGGGGAATTACTAAACCAAGAATTTGATCATATCTAGGAAAAGAATTCCATGTGTTTGTCTCATGAAATAGTGAATCCTGTGCTCTTGTCTGCCTAATGAGCCCCTGTAATTCATCTCGGTTGCTATGTCAAACCCTCCTTATCAGGAGGCCACAGACCAGGCTAAGAAAAAGGGAGGGGGTGGAACTTAATTACATAGAGTAGAGGGAGGATGGAAACTGCACCAAACTGGAAATAACTTCTTAATATATTAAATCCAGAATTAAAACCAACTCCCACCATCCATAATTCAGAATTTGGTGGGATTCTCCCAAAATAAATGTTTTATTTTTATTTGAGAGATATTGAACTGAAATTAAACCTAAAGATTTTTTAAATTGTTTAACTAAATAAACACTACAATATTAAAGTATCAAATAACAACAGTCAGACTAATACTGCATTTGGTTTTCATTCCTGCATAGTATACTTTAGGACTGGGATTTGAGAAATAAAACTTATTGGTATTTCTTGATGAGCTTTCAGGGTTCCTATATAAAAATCAGCTTAACCTCTTAGGGTTCTTTAAAACTTTTCTACATAGTACATGAATACTGATAGTCTGATGCATTTATAAATTTTTGTTTAAGTATTTTTATATCTTTTATTACTATAACTTCATGTGTTTAGCTCTGTTATTATTGTTGCCTATTTGGTTCTTCTGCCTTTTCTTTTAGCAACATATTGCCTTCATTGCCCACTGACAAAGAAAATAATGTAAGGTCGTAGAATACTAGACTAGACTAGGAGCCAGAACTTCTAGGTTCTTTGAAAACCAGGTCTACCACTTAGTAACTTGGTGGTTCTGATCCTTAGTTTTCAGATTTGTCAAATGGGGATAATAATCCATTCTGCCTACTTAACAGGGTTGTTCAGAAGATTGCATGATCTAATGGATGTGAAAACATCTTAAAAACTCAAATACTTTTCAACTTTGGAGGATTATTATTTTCATCCTGTTCAGCAACTATCCTCAGACTTTAAGTCAAATTTTGTGACATTCTTTGAAGTGAAGCATTCTGTGAATGTGAGCTGAAGAAATGAATGAAATGAAATAATGCAGGTAAAGGGCCTGGAACTTGATAATGGATAAATGATAGTCACTTTTTAGTATTCTTTAAAACTTTCCTCAAGCATTCTAAGGTGTTAAAAAAACACAGTCCTAAGTATCAGACAGGCCTTAGTTCAAATTCCTATTCCCCACTTCCCAGTTTTGTTATTTCAGGAAAATTACTTAATCTTTCTGAGCCCAATTCCTTATCTTTAAAATGGGAATAAAACCTACTTTTCAGGTTAAGATGAACATGGGAGATACTGAACATAATGTGGCTTGGTGCAGGCACATGGAAGGCATAGCTGCTGTTCGGGTTGCTTATGATGATAACAGTTATGGTTCAGTGACAACATAAGGTATATTATAAACAATGTATTTTGTTGACAGGGAATTGTGAAAAGTGGATTCTCAATAGAACATAAAGTATATAAAGCGATGTGAAACTTTGAAAGTATGTTTCTCCTTGTGGGAGTAGAGGTAGTATGGCTAGGTATATCCTCTGATAAATTAATCCTACATCTTCCCTTTTGCCCATAGGCATAAAGAGCAACCCCAAATATCAAACTGAAATAAAGTTCAGTAGACTTTTAGCATCTCAGAATTTGGAAGAGGACTTAAAATAATTGAATTTGGCCCATCATTTCAAAACTTGTTATTTTGAACATCTTACAAATTGTCTTGTGTTGAACTCCTCAAAGTCATTGGGGACTTCCCCAGGCAACTAACATTATATTTAGACAGATGATTATGGGGTCAATATATGTTTCTTTGTAAATTCTGTTAGTCATACTTATAACTTTTAGGACCATATTGAGTAGTTTTACCTAGTTTTTCACCCACTGGCCTCTAATTATGAGGAAGCAGCTCTAGGGACTGCCTTCTCACCGCCACTCTTGCTTTCCTGGTTCAGACCACCAAGCCTCATCCCTAGATATTAGAACAGCTTCCTAACTAGTCTTCCTGCCTCCAGCCTTACCCTCCTCCAGTCCATCTTCACACTGCAGACAGAGTAACTCTCCCCCAACCCTTCAATGCTTCCTCTTTTTAGTGTGGTGTACAAGGCTGTCTGATACCCAAATACTGCTTTTATCTACAGCCTCTTTTCTAAACTGTTTCTTTAAACTCCACCCAGTAGCCATACCAAAAGATTCAGTTTTTAGAACTGCTTTTTCTCACTTCTAGGCCTTTATGCATGCTTTTCTTTCTGGAAAAGAAAAGAAAAAAAAAATTTCTCTTTGACTCAGATGTTACTTCCTCTGGGAATCCTTTCACAAACCCTCTAGGTGCTCCCGTATAGCACACTTGACTCCAAGTGTAGCATTTACTACGGTTTATAATAGTTGACTGTTTTGGCTCTGTCCCTCACTGGACGGAAATTCCATGAGGTCAAAAATAGTATTTTCATTATGACCGTATCTTCAGCACCCACACAATGCTTTGGTACACACTATAAATATTTGTTAGATGGATGAAAACTTTGATTCCTTATCATGCTAAATGTTTATTGTTCCTTCAGCTGGCCCTTGGGTGACATGGTTTTGTGTCCCTTTACCACATAGGTCATCATTTAGACTTTGGTTTGTTCTATCCCTCTCAAACTATAGCTCCCAGAACTAAATTTAATATTCCAGAAGTGAATTTACTAGTCCAGGAAAGAGTAGGACTACTGCTTGCTTCTCTTCATTCACTAAACTTTTATTTAGCCTCTATTAAGTTTCAGATACTGTGTTAAACAGTGATGATTTTTTAGAAATTAATAAAAGATAGCCCCTATCCTTACATAAATAATTATGATGATATAATGTGATGAACATGAAAATAAGGGTGTTAACATAATGTTATAGGAGACAGGGAAATGGATGGATTTGTTCTGGGAAGACAGCTAAAGTCAGAAATCCTTTTTTTTAATTTGGTGTTTTATCTTTAGATGATCCATTAACAAACACCAAGCTACTGATCTAAAAAGCCTATGGACAGACAATGTTGAGGTACCTACCATGTATATAAAATCTTAGCTTTGGACGTTTTAAAATAACTGGCTTTTATTCATGCTGGATGTGCCACAACTTATTAATCATTTGAAAGTGCCAAGAAAACATAAGGTTGAAGGTATGACTTATAAGAAGGACTTGCTCTATCAGATATTTAAATTAATTATGAAGTTGTAAGAAACAAAGTATTCCTGGTGCTAGAATAGACTGACCAGTGAGAAGAACAGAATGTGGAGTCTGGAAATAGATCCAAATGTATGTAAGAAGTTAACGTATGATCAAGGTGGCATTTTAAATCAGTGGACAAGATGATTTAGTCAATAAATGATGTTGAAGCACATTTATTGAATAAAGATGAAAAGGAAAGCTCCATGTTAGCCTCATTTGTCTCACAAATAAATTCCAAATAGACCAAACATTTAAATGTGAAAAAAATGAAACCTGAGAAATTCTAGAAGAAAACATGGGTTAATATTTTATAATACTGAAGTAAGGAAAGATGATATAAAAACCAGAAACTATTTTTTTAAAAAGGCTGAGAAATTTAAGGACAAATTCTATCAGACTGAGACAAATGTCTTCAACATATATGACAAAAGACTATTTTTAATATACAAAGAACTCTTAGAATCTGAGTAAGCAGAAGACTAACTCAGTAAAAAATGGAAAAAAAAAATACAAATTGACTATAAGCCTAAAAAGATCTTCAACTGTATTAGTAATCAAAGAATACAAATAAAAACATAAATGAATTTTGTTTTGTTTTTTTTCACTAAGATTTATCAGAGTTATAGGAATGGTTGAAACAGTTGTGGCAAGGAACATAGTCTTAAGTACTATTGACAGGAATTATATTGTAATCAAAATAGAAAATATTTTATATTTTGTCCATTAATATCACTGTTGGGAATTAACCCTAAGGAGCTCATCTTAAAAATGGTAAAAGATATGTACACCAACAATAGATACTCATCAAAAAATTAGAAAACAATTAAATGGCCATCAATATTATTTAACAAATACTGTTGTTATGTAAATTATGGTACATATAAACAATGTAACACTTTTCAGACAGTAATCTTGGAGTAGAATTTATGGTCTAAAGACTATGAGTGTCTCTATTGTTTTTAGGAATTTGGGTTGCACACTTTAGGTGGAATGAAGAAGAGTTCTTGTAGAGGAATGTGGCCACAACAGTAGCCAGCATGCATGGAAGTACCTGACATAACCATGTGAAATTAGGAGCATTTGAGAGATTTAGGATATGTGTAGAAAGATCAGATGTATGTCTAGGATCAGTGTGTAAAGGTTAAAAGAAAACAGACTTTGGCTGACTATAAAAGGTAAAGTCTGTGCATTTGTACCACTAAACAATAGCAAATAATGAGTTTCTCATCATTGGCAGTATTGGAGCAGATGCCAGAGGAACCTTTCAGGTCTTAACTTTCATATCATCTCGTCAAGATCCCTTTCTTGAAAGACCATCCTGCCTAAATTAGAATACACAGTCTTGGTATTCTCTTTCCTCTTACTTTGCTTTATTATTTCTTTACTTGAAAGGGGCCAGAAATTGTACAATTATTATCTTTGGTCTTTTTTTACCCTCTGGACCAAATGATATGTATTTGTTTATTTATTGCCTCTCTTCTCCCTTAGAATGTAAGCTTTATGTGGGCAGAGAGTTTGGTTGTTTTATTCTTTGCTATGTATCTATCACCAGTGCCTAGAACAAGGCTTGGCATATAGTAGGCTCTCAATAAATATTTTTTGAATGAATGAGTTGGAGAAAGGAATTTACGTGTTCAACCAGGTTGATTTCTTGTGCTTTACATTTTGGGGGGATTTTATTTTCTTATAATAAATGTAATTATTTTGTTGTGTGATTGCAGTTTATAAAACATTTCATTAGTATTAAGTAATATAAATGAGATGTCTGGCTTTTTCCCATCCATAAGTTTGCAGCTCAGATATTTCCTTTGTAGGACATCTGTCCATAGCTTCACCATCTAAGATAGTTCCCAGCCTCTCTGCATCACATCTCATATTTTATTTCCTTCAAGCTCTTCTCACTTACTACCTTATTTATTTGTTAATTGTGTTGCATCATATACCAGAATATGAATTCCATCAGGGCGAGTACCTCCTGTCTTATTCTAACACTTAGAATTTGGCACATAGAGGATACTGAAACATAAGTTGAATGAATAATTGAAACCACTCTGTAAATTTTAAAATGTTATGGTTATATTAGTTAGTGTTAATCTTTACAATAATTTTTGACCCCAAGTATGGATTAGTTTTCTCTCTTCTGCATTTACATGGCAACCTGTATTATCTCATTAACATAAATTTATTGTAATTATACCAGGTTATTTGTGTTGTTATTCATATTGCTCTGCTTATGTCTGGACTACAAGCTCCATAAACTTAGGAACCATGTCTGTCTTGTTCCCTTAACAGTTAATACAGTGCTTTTGCACTTGGAAGTTTAATCAATATTTATTGAATGAATGAGTATATGTACAGTCTTGTGCAATATGTATTATCTCCATCTTTAGATGAGTAAACTGATACTTGGAAGGGTTAAGTAATTTATCCAGGATAGTTATTTGTAGAAACAAGACTTTAACTGACATCTTCTCACTTTCAATATCACATTATTTCAACTATAGTAGTAATTTATAGATGCAAGTGTTAACCATAATTACCTAATAAGCCATTTTTTAAAGATTTTATTTATTTATTTATTTATTTATTTATTTTTAGAGAAAGGTGAAGGGAGGGAAACAGAGAGGGAGAGAAACATCAATACGTGAGAGATACATTGATTGGTTGCCTCTCACACACCTCAACTGGAGGCCTGGCCCGAAACCCAGGCATGTGATCTGACTGGGAATTGAACCAGCAACCTTTCGGTTTGCAGACAGGCACTCAGTCCACTGAGCCACACCAGCCAGGGCGAGCCTTTGAAAATACAGATTCACAGACCACACTCAAAGCCTACTAAATGAGATCTTTTTAAGATGGGGCCCAGAAATCTGCTTAAAGAAATGAGAAAAAAATTATTCAGGAGATTCTGATGATAGGCAACATTTGGGAATCAATGATAATAGCCAGGGATTGGCAAGCTGGTCAAATCTAGCCTGCTGCTTGTTTTTGTAAAGTTTTAGTGGAACACAGTCATGCTCATTAATTTACATATTGTCTATGGCTATTTTCACGCTACATTGCAAAGTTGAGTTTGTGACAGAGACTGTATGACTCACAAAGCATAAAATTTTTACCGTCTGGTCCTTTACAGAGAGTTTGCTACCCCTGGTGTATTTATACTTTGCTGCCTGTCCTATTTCTGTTGTGGCTATTTTAGTGCTTGGAGATGTGGTAGACATGTTTGTCTCCATTGTGGACATCACAGTAGATGTCCACATATTGTTACAAATTAACTTATTTTGCAATTTACTTGACAATATGGGACTAAGCCGTAGGTAGCCTAAAAGTCAGGTATAAGAAAAATACTAAACCTATGTATGGTTCAAGCCAGGCAGCCCTCACAGTGGGTGAACTGCTTTTAATGAAGGGATTCCTTTTCATTCAGTTGATAATAGGGTGTTCCCTAAATGGTGGCAGATGTGAGGTTTCTTGCTTGTATAACAAGGATTGATTACTATAATTGATCTGAGATTAATATCCTTATTGTTTTGGTACCCTTGATGCCGCCATAGTTCCTTAAACCAAAGTCTCTTGGGTGCTTTAAGTCAGAACTCAAGCTAATACAAGCAATCACTCAGGGCTGACCAAACCTCTAGACCTGCATTGCCTACTATAGTAGCTGTTAGTCATATGCATGTATTTAAATGTAAATTACTTAAAATTAAATAAAATTTAAAATTTAATTTTCTCATTTACACTAGTCATATTTCTAAGACTTATTATTTGACTTAATCTTTATTTATAAGAATGGAATAATTTGTAACATTTCCATTCTTTTTCTTTTTTTTAAAGACTTTATTTATATAATTTTTTTGAGAGGGATAGGGAGGGAGAGAGTGAGGGAGAGAAACATCAATGTGTGGCTGTCTCTCATGCATTCCCTGCTGGGGACCTAGCCCACAACCCAGGTATGTGCCCTGACTGGGAATTGAACCAGCGACCATTTGGTTCGCAGGTCTGCACTCAGTCCACTGAGCAATACCAGCCAGGGCACACTTCCTTTTTCTAACAGCCTGTAGTGATGAAATGTGTTCATTCCTTGTGTTAGGGCCATCTCAGCTAAGAACAAACTTTATTAAATTCTGATAAGCTCTTTAAATCTTGACTCCAGGAAATATCCATCTCATTTACCCTATGGACTAACTGTCTCTTCATGATGATTAATCATTGGCCAGTTCATGAAATGGCTTAGAACTGACAGATTTCTGGCCAAATCTATTTGGCTTGGTAAATGGTGGTGGGAAAGGGACCAGTTTTAAAACAAAAGTTATAAAGTCAATAGAATATATAGTCTTGGCATCATCTTTGAAGTTATTTAGATTTCATCATTCAGTAACTCATTTTTATTCCCAGCATCTAGTGCTTTTTGCATGGCCCAAAGTGGCTCTGTGCTGCTCCACTGCAGAGGAAACTTCAAGAAATGCTGGTTTGCTACAGTGTTTTAGCTTGTGAGCATCTCTGGGATCTTCCCTGCTCCATCATGGGGGCTCCTCTAGGTGGGTATTAGAGGGAGATTGGCAACTGGTCTAACCTTTAATAAAGAACTTGGTAATCCTTTGTGATCCAATAAAATATGTATTCAACAGCCCATCCCTTAAAATGTTTTCCCTGGTCCCAGAATAGTGTCACTTTAAGGACTGTTTCCCTGATCCTTAAACTTTGAGAGGCCCTAAGACCACTTCAACAGGCTAAAAGACTCTGTGGACACGTTCCCCACCCCAATTTATTCTTAGGTACCACCATCAGAAATGCTACCTAGGACCTGCTTTTTTTCTCTAAGTTACCAGATCTTTGTCATTTTGCACAAAGCAATGAGAGCAATGCAGCATAGGCAGAGATGGGAGTAGAGTAGAGGTGGACAGGAGAAAGCCAATTTTTAGACTGAGGATTCATGTATAATTTCACTAATTCTGGCTTTTTCTGCCTTCAAATCCTCTTACCTAATGTTTCCAGAAGTGTGTGTATATATATATATATATTTTTTTTTTGAGCTGAAAGGGGATACAGCCATATTGGGTGTTAAATGCCATCACCTGTGGCAATAAGGGACCTCTCCAGGAGTCAGATTGTTCAAAAGGAATCTCCTCATCCATTTTCTACCTGTTCTGTTTTCCACAGAAGCTTCCTGTGCACTTGTCTGAGGCAGTGGTATATCTTCCTTTGGCATTTGGATCAGTTTAGTAACTAATATGAACAACACCTCAGGTCATCTTTAGACCACCTAGACCATGATTAAAAAAAACATTGATCTAAAATGATCCGCTCAGGTCACCTTGATTCCTCACCCTAATATTCCTTTGAGCCCAAACAGGGAAAGGTAAGTTTTATTACACTCCAAACCAGTCTGAAAATAGCCTAATATTTAGTGTAGTTTACATCCTGAAAGCATTTTTTAGGAAATCGACTGTGATAGAGATTTCTGTTTCCTTTACAGGTCATTTTACCTGGGACAAATACCTAAAAGAAACATGTTCAGTCCCAGCGCCTGTCCATTGCTTCAAGCAGGTAATTGATTCTCAACATCCTTAGTGGGTTGAAGGCAAATAGGCTTTTTCTGGTCCTTAGACAAGCAAAACATAACGTTGGAACTGTTGGGTTTCTCACTTGAAGGCCCAATAACAAACTTCGAGGGAAAAATGCAACTCAAGACTCACTATGAGTTTTGACAGCATACATTCTCCTCAACTTCATTCCAAATAACACCTACTTCTTTACCTCCTTGAAGATATTCTGTGTTTCTGAAAACAATAATTTTTACTATAGCTCTTAGATTAGACAGATAAGATACACTGTTATAGGCCTTAGTTCTTGAAAGTAGAGCAGTATTTGTTTCTCTGTACTCAACACCCCTGCCACAGTCATCTCTTTCCATAAAAATACTGGCACTGAGTCCCGTGGAGGCAAGGGAGTGTTCTAGGAGCTCATCAGAGGTCATCCAGAGCTTCCCACTTAGGATTAAATGCTCCACAAAATGCATAGATGATGTCGACTATATCAGCACATAATAAGGCTAATAAGCAAAGATGTGTACTGCTGCTAAACAGAGCTAAACATTAGGAAGTTATATACATTCCTCTTCCTTTAGTATTCTTTGGTTATTTTCTCAAACTGTCTACACATAACTTTGAGTTTGAATTTTGTCTATGCTCTAAATAAAAGAAAAAATTCAGGACTTATGCTCATTCTAAATAGTAGGGACAATTCATATTCCCACATAAAAAAATAAAAGACACAAACTATATTAAACAGTATTTTTTAAGTTTCCGAAAATCAAGCAACCAAGTACAGTGCACTCTGAGAGATGGATAACAAATAAGCTAAGCCCCTTATGACTTCCCAGCTTTGTGCCTTAAGAGAGTTTTGAGACGTGGCCCAGAGAAGGGGAACCGAGGTTGAACCCATCACACTCCCTAATTTGAGGAGGTGGATCTGAGAGTCTAAGGAAACCAAGGTGGCTAAAATGTGCAGGGCACAGTGCCACAGAGAGGAGAGAGCTGCACAGAAAGAAAACAACAGAGATCTCCCTTCCAAGTATTCAGCAAAGTACTATTGTTCAGTATATGCATGTGAGGAAACTACCCAAAGCCAAGGGAAAAACCATCTGAAAGGTTTAAATGGAATAGAGTCTGGCACTCACACTGGGCTGGGAATACTGCCTGATCCCACCAACTAGACTGGAAAATCTCAATTCATATGGTATTGGATGGAATACTCAAGAAACTCTTGCTCAGTAGTGGTAAATAATTAACCTTAATGTGAGCACTGTTCTGAGCCTGCCTAGCAAATCATAAAGCAAGACTCAAAATGATCAAACCAGTTCCAAGTAACTTAGCTGCATCTAGAAACAAAGCACAAGAAGGAAGTGCAAAAATATTCAGCTCCCAACAGGTATAATTCACAATGTCTGGCATTGGATCAAACCAGGCATGTAAAGAGGCTAGAAACATAACCAATAATGAGCAGAATAATCAATCAGGAAACAGACTCGTACCTATGCAGGTCTTAGACTAGACAAAAACATTAAAATAATTATATTCAGAAGTTAAACAGAGACATGGAAGATATTTAAAAACTCATATTGAACTACTATGTACAAAATAACAAATATACTACATAGTATTAATGTCAGAAGAAAAGATTGGTAAACTTGAAGACATAGCAATAGGAACTCTCCAAGATAAAAAGAACATCAGTGAGCCATAGGATGACTTCCAAGTTCCATGTGATGACTTCGTAGACCATGTAATTGGCATGCCCAAAGGAAGGAAGAGATGAGGGACAGAAAAATATTTGAAAATATAATGGCTAAAATCTTTCCAAAAGTTATGAAAACTATAAGTCCATAGATCTAAGAATAAAAAAGAACAGGAAGAGGAGAAGGAGAAGAAACTACACTAAAGCATATCATAAGTGCTTAAAACTAGTGATTGAGGACATCTTAAAAGAAGCCAGAGAAAAGTACTTTAGCTACAGGGGAATTAAGATAAAAATGACATCATATTTTCTTGTCAGAAACAGTGTAAGCAAGAAGAAAGTTGAGTAACATTTTTAAAATACTGAAGAAAAAACTATCAACCTAGAATTATACATTCAGCAAAAAGTTCTTCCAAACACAAAGGCACAATGAAGATACTTTGAGACATACAAAAGGTAAAAGAATTCATCACCAGCAAACTCACTACAAGAGATGTTAAAGGTAGTCCATCAAGCAGAAGGAGAATGATACCAGATGGAATCACAGATCTTCACAAAGGAATGAAAGTCATTGGGAATTGTAAATATAAAAGTAAAGACATAAGGTGTTTTTATTATTTAAATCTCTATAAAAGATAATTATATAAATAACAGTGATATTGCATTGTAAAGATAATTAACATGTATATAAGTAAAATGTATGATAAAAATAGCTTAAAGGCCAAAAGAAATCTTAAGTATACTATTACAAGATTTATATACATGAAGCAGTATAATATTACTGGAAGATAGACTGATAAGTTAAATATGTTTACTATAAACCCCAAAGCAACCACTAAAAAAATAGAAAACAAATAGCAATATGGTAGATTTAAATCCAGCATATCAATCATCCAATGAATTATATATGGTCTAAATACCCCCAATGAAAAGGCAGACATTATTTCTTTGAATAAAAAGCAGGACACAATTATATACTGTTTGCAAGAAATTACACTTTAAATATAAAGACACAAGTAGGTTTAAAGTAAGAGAATGGAGAGTGATATACCATACTGACATTGGCTATATTAATATGAAAGTACATTTCAGACCAAAGAATATTACCAGGGATAAAAAAGGTATTTTATCATGCTAAGGGGTTAGATTCCTCAGGTGACAAACACAAGGCCCGCGGGCTGAATCCAGCCCTCCACCTTGTTTTATCTGGCCCGGCACCTTGTTTCTATCCGGCGGCAGCTAAGGAGTAGTTACATTTATACAGTCCTAAAATTACATTCAGCCCTTTGAAAGCAACCACGAGGCTGATATGGCTCCCGGTGAAAATAAGTTTGACACCCCTGCCTTAGATGAAGCAAAAAATTATGAGACATAAATAAATCTAAAATTTATAGCCAGACTTGTAATACCCTGTGACTAAAGAATAGACATAAAATAAGCAAGTATGTAGTAGACTAATAGTATCAACCAACTTGACCTCATTGATACTCTCTAATTACAATAGAATATGCATTCATTTCAATTGCACACAGAACATTTACCAGGTTAGACCATATTCTGGACCATAAAATAAGGCTTGATAAATTTAAAAGTCTTTAAATAATATAAAGTATGTTCTCTGATACATTGGAATAAATTAAAAATCAATAGCAAAAAGCTATCTGGAAGATCTCCAAATATTTGGAATCTAGTATCGCATTCCTAAATATCTTCAACTAAATGAAAATGAAAGCAGAACATATAAGAATCTTTGGTATGCTTCCAAAGCAGTTTTTAGAGGGAAATATATTGCTCTAAGCACTTACATTAGAAAAGAAGAAAAGTTTTACTTAGTGACCTCAACTTCTACTTTAAAAAACTATGAAAAAGGGACAAGTTAACCCCAAAGTCGGCTTAGAAAAGGAAATAGAACATAAATCAATTCAATAAAAAACAAAAAAGTAATAGAGATAATCATTGAAACCAAAAGCTGATATTTTGCAATGAGGTAAACCTCCGGTTAGAATGATCAAGAATAAGGAGAAAACACAAATTATTAACATCAGAACTAAAGGAGGTAACATCACTGTTAATTCTTTAGATATTAAAGAGATAATAAAGGAATATTATGAACAAATTTATGCCTTTAAATTTGATCACTAAGATGAAATGGATAATTTGATGAATGACAAAATTTACCAAAGCTCACTTAAGAAGATAGGAAATATGAATAGCACAATTTCTGCCACAGAAATTTAATTTTAGAAAATTCCAGGCCTAGATGACTTCACCAGTGAATTGTTCCAAACATTTAAGGAAAAAATAATGCAAATTCTACATAGACTCTTCCAGAAAGTTTAAGAGAAGAGAATACCTCCCATTTCATTCTAGGAAGCAAGCATTATTCTGATACCAAAACCAGGCAGGCACATTGATAGAAAACTACAAAATGATATCCCACATGAAAATAGATGTAAAAATTCTAAACAAAATTTTAGGAAATTGAACCTAACAATATATAAAAAAAATTCATGACCAAGCAGGGTTTAATTTTAAGAATGCAAGCAAGATTGGTTTAACATTAAAAAAATTAACCAGTGTAATTCATTCACCACATGAACACCCTAATGAAGGAAAAATATAATAATTTAAATAGATGCAGAAAAAGCATTTGGCAAAATCCAGGGTCCATTGCTAATAATAATAATAATAATAAAACTTCACATCAAACAAGAAATGGAAGGTAATTTTCTAAATCCTAAACCCCAAAGAGCATCTATGAAAAAAATCTACAGAAAACATCACATTAAATGCTTTTTTCCTTAAGGTCAGGAATAAGACAAGGATGTCTGCTCTTGACACTGCTATTCAGCTTTGTACTACCAATGTGACCAGGCCAAATAAGAGAAAGAATAGGGATCCAGACTGAAAGACTAGAACAGAAACCAAAGAAAAATATATGGGAAGACCTACTTCATCTAATCATGGCAAGGTTGTGGAGCATAAGATTTTCATGAACTATTGATGAAAATGTAAAATGGTTCAATTACTTTGAAAAATAGTTTGGCGGAAAAATTTCAACATATTACTGGGCAAAAATAAAAATCATTAAATTAACTAGTAACTAGTAATTACAGTCTAAACTTGAAAAAAGTATTTATACCTCAGTACTAAAGCCAGTATTTTACTCAATGGTAAAAAATAACTCAATAAAGTTATAATAGAAGAGAAATTCCCATTTACAATAGCAAAAATTAACATTTATGAATGAATTAACAAATATGCAAAACTTATATAAAGAAAACTTTAGAAAACAGCTTACCAAAAGCATG